TGTTGGGGGGGGGGGGGGGGCGCTTATATTTTGGATTTGTGCCTCTTTTAATGTAACTCCTTTGCCTGACTCTTTGTGACTTTTCCAGCATGTCTCTTTGAAATAATGAAACCTCTGAAAAGAACCTGAAATAGACCATCACTATATAAAAATGTCACAGGCTTTAAATCTCTTATCTTGGGCCTTACCTGGGCTACAGGCAAGTGCGGGGTCCTGTTGGGAAGCTGGGAAGCTGCCCTTGCCAAAGCTCCCATTACAAGGCCAAAAGACACTGAATTTTACAGTCTCATCACTTTTATGTGTAGAAAACTGTGACTGGCACAGGGATGAATCTGGCTTTCCCTGGGCCTCAGGAAGGTGTGATTGGGGAGGGGAAAAGAAAAAACCTCTTTATGTCTTACATGTTCTGTGTGTGTCAACCCCAATATATCGATTTCATCCTTAGTGTCTCTGTTGAGACTTTTAATAGGAGTGTCAGTTATGGTGACTGTTGTGATCAAATTCAGTTCCAAATGTGCAACTCCTCTCTCAAGTAAGCTGCAAAAACGGTTCTCAGATGGTAAGTACTTTTGGTTATTACCCACCTGGGTCATCTTTGAACCAACGACCAAGAGGTGAAAGGTTCTGTATTCCATTTCCAATCTCCCAAACTGCTGACTATCCTTGAGGCTGTTTGACCAGATTTGTGCGTTGGCAGATTATTTGCTATCTTTGACCTTCATCCAATGATATCCTATCTGACTTGGGGGGACTTGAGGTTAATGGAATTGTTCAAATGATAAAGCACCTTTTTAAGATGTGTGAAGGAACAGACAAAAATCTGAGTAAAAAATCCCACCCGGAGTCTCTGAGGGAGGATTTCAGATTATTTGCTGAGCTTTTGTATTTAAATTTGCTTATGGATTTTAGTTCAAATTCCCTAGTCATCTGAAAGGTTAAGACTTTATTTTTTATCCCTCAGCCCGTTTATTACTTTTATTGATGCTTTGTTTTGACCTCAGTGCCTTGGGGAATGACTAGTTTTGTCTGTCTGCACCCATAGATTTCTAATTACAAGGCGCCTCTTGAATATTCAGCTTTATCTAATTGGAGCTTGTTTTTTCCACTGACGTTTGAATCGTTTTCTCAGAGGCTTCAATGCTTACTAGCAGTTCCAAGCATACTACTTTTCAGAGACTTTATTTCTAGATTAGACTGAATATCTAAAACATTGAGTTCTCTTAGGTATTTATCTAAGGTAACTGGTCTTGGTATCAAATATGTGTAATTTTGCTTTTCCTAACAATGGAGTGGGAACCTGAGCCTCTCCTTATTTTACAACTAGTTACTGTTATATGCTGTTTCCAGTGGGATCATCCAATGGCATCATTATCCTTTCTTGACAAAGGTGGTGGAAAAAATCCCCTGATACCAAAGAGGAAAGCAGCAGCTCAGCTGCTTTGAGTGTGCAAATGTGGTTTGTGGGGTAGAAATGTTCCATAATCCGATATGTTTTTCTGATAGCATGCACGTAAATAACTCCCTTTGGGGAGTAATCGGAAGTCTGTGCGCATACGGTGTATCTGCTGATGCCGTCTCTCTGTAATTATGCCTGCTTTAGTCCCAGAGATGATTATATCAGGTGCATAGTAAGATCATAACGACAACAGTTGAAAGGAAATGGGAGGTTTTAGTCAACTATTTGAATAATCAAATCCATATATCACTATTGCCCTGATCTTGTAATCAAATCCACACCTCCTAGCCATCCACATATCAAAAGCTAAACCTCTAGTGCTTTCTTTTTTGTTTTCATCTTATCTCTTGGATAACTGTATTTACACAGAACCACTCCTTTGACTTCTAACACTAATTGGAGCAAATTCATCCCTGGTATGACCACATCAATTTTGGTGCATTGTATAATAAGCTCTCAAATTATTTTTCTTCATCTTTAACAATAGGTATTAGTTTGTATTTGTCAGTTATTGTGACTTTCAAAAAAGTAGCTTTGGCATGCAACAAATATGCCATCTAATGAAAATAAATGGTATAATAGACTGCTTTTGTTAACTCTGCTTTAGCGTGAGTGATTATTAAGGTTATTCAGCAGGAACACCTCAATCTTTCCTTTTCATCACAAGGTCAAACTAATTAAAGTCACAGCTGTCTCAGTCGCTTAGTACTAATTGGCTCCAATGTTACCAGTTAGTTAAGTCTGAAGCCTGAACTAGATTTATAGCACTTGTGTTAATGGTAGCTCTTTTTTTCATCTAGAATATATTAATTTCCTTATGGCACAAGGACTTCTGTGGGACACCCAGCTACAGTAGATTTGCACCTATATGGCACACGCTTATGGAACAAGATTTTGGGCATAAATTGTGTTGGCCTTTTTCCATTCTGCACTTCTGTCCCTTTTATTCTTGCACAAGTGGAATGAATACTAGGGCAGCAATTAGCAGGGAGAACTTTGGGGCCTAATGCTGAAATGGTGGAATTAGGCATTTGTTATTCAGAGCACTCCAAGGAGGTGGATGTGAAAACTGCTTTGCAATAATGAATTAAAAGCCACTGATTCATCAGTGATTATCGTCTGAATCTGCAGCAGCAGGGTCAACATCAGGGTGTTCCCGGATGGTATGGTATTTCCAAACAAATGGTCATTTTCAGTTATTTAAAATTGCCAAGAATTACCATTTTGTCAATTTATGTCCTTTAAAGGAACAAATTGTTGTATTTTTTTCTATTATATAAAGGCCAACATTTTCAACTATCTACTTATATGGGTTTCTCCTCTCCCCCCAGTTAAGATGCAGCTAGTCCTGCTTTAGGACTTGATCTGCTTCTATTGAAGGCCATGGCAAGATTCCCTTTGACTTTAGTGGGAGCAGGATTGGGCTCTCAATTGCCTTACCCAGTTTAAAAAAGAAAGTTAGAATTTAGGGCAGTAATCCAAGAGCAGTTACCAGTGCATGTCACAAGAAAAAATGGCAAAGAATAGGTTTGCCTCTCTTCTGGACTAGTAGTATGCTATTTAGTAGTTAATTTGGGAATGGAGGAGCAATAATTGTGCAGAAACAGACTATAAATAGAAAAATCTAAGTGATTATTTGAAGTCTATGTATTTGGTCTCTTTAATGTCTCAATGAGATGTGGGTTATTTAAAAAAAAGTCTTAGATTAGTATCAGAATCAATAATTTATCAAGATTATTTTAATGTCCAGATTAATTTTTGCCCACTGGGTTCCTTCTAGGCATTAAAAGCAGAAGTAATACTTAGTGGTTTACAAGTACAGAGTACTTTACAACCGCTACTTAAAATTCTCAACCCCTTGTGAGTTGAGCAAAGTATTTGTAATTATCCCAGTTTTACAAATGAGAGAATGGTAGCACCTAAAGAGGTTAAGACACTTGGTCATCCATTTGCTGTTGGACCTGGGGCATACAGGGCCCAGAACTCATGAGTTCCTGGATCCCAGAGCCATGCTCAGCCCTTTAGAGAGGGGCACAATTCTTTCTCTTTGCTCTAGTTCTGGATCTTTGATCGCTGATGCAGACTTAAAAAGAAAAATAACCCAGCAAGTATGAAACAAAAATCCAGACCAGTTACATAGTTAAAGCACTGAAAAAAGCTTAGTTTTGTCCTGCTGCAGCAAGTATATGTGCGTACAAGAGCAGATATAATGATATTACAGTGCCCTCTGAGATCATTGACGTGACTAAGCTCACATTGAGAAAGCTACAGAACATCTCTCTTTGCCCAGCCTTTGTCAATTGACCAAACTATGAAATCCGGGCAGCTCATTTATAGGGGAGATTCCCCCCCTCATTCCTATGTCTAAAACTTGCAGCCAGTGGGGGAATGTTGTGTCCTTGCTCATTTTACCTGAAATGTTAATGTCCCAGTTTAAAGTATGCCCTGGTATCACCTGATAAATACGTAGTAGTAGTTTTGTGAACAAATAAATGCAATTGAATTGCAAAAATAAGGCGTTCTGCTCAAAATGACTCCGTTTAAAAGACTCTCTTTCTCAGCCACCCCCCCACACATGGTATTTTCCAAGTGGTTGCTCTTTGGAAAGTTGCTTAAAAGAAGTGAACACCCTGACACTGCCGATGTCACGGGCTTAGCGGTGCTGCAGTAGAGGTTGCTGCCGGGAATTGCTGAGCATGCCCTTCGTTCACTTGCATTACTAAAGAATTGATGATTTTTGGAGTGGGGAGTGTGTAATGTGCTTGCTGAGAGCAGCATGCCGTGATCTACCCCTCACACGTCCGGTTTGCTTCAAAACGTTTCTTCCAAAAAGGAACACTGTCCTATGAGGCAGAAATATTAACACATTTTGTCCATGTTGGGGGGTGGGGTATAGTATTTCATCTGCTGCCTGTGGCACGGAGAATTTACTCCTTTATCGTTTGTGTTACCATAGCACATAGGAGTCCACTCGTGGACCAGAACCTCATTGTGCTAGGTGCTGTACAAATGCAGAACAAAAAGACAGTTCTTGCCCCAGAGAGCTCACTTTTCTGGAGCTGTTGGATGATACTGGGAATGGAATGTTACTGGCCCCTTGTTTTTAGTACCGGTGGCCTATGTGATATGAGTCGTGAATCTTGGTAGAGTTCCCAGTAAGTCCATATCACGGCTGCCAGTAAAAAGCCCCTTTCATGCCTTTTTCACCAGGGGAGTCAAGTAGTGAATGGGATGCAGACAATAAACTACCTTCTAGAAGTGGCCCCTATAGGTTAGAATTGAGGCCAATTGCCAGGGCAGTATAAGGAAACTTGCCTTGCTGCTGCTCATGCTATGTCTATTTGATGAACAAAAACTGAAAGGATGTTCGTCTCCAGGACTGTTAATCAAACACCTCTCGCCAGCACTAGATTCACTTTATTAATATAAGTACCAAGTCTCAGGTGCTCTGATACAACATTGATGGGTAACTTTTAAAAACCCAGATAGTCTTCCCTAGGCAAGAGAGAGGATGCACTTTTGACTCTCTTCTAATTGTTCACAGGTGGACATAATATGTGGTGATCACCTTCTAGAACACTACCAGACGCTGAGGGAAATCCGCCGAGCTATAGGAGACGGTGCTATGCAGGTAAGGGTGGTGGCTAGCCTGTGTTGTAAAATGTGAGTTCTGAAATAGTGCTCTGTTTAACTAAACAGCAGTGTCTGCTAGAAACGCTTTCACCCATTGGTACTCTGCTCCTCGAGAAATCACTACTTCATGCTGTTATGAGATCCTGTCAGGTTAAGTTTAGACAAGATACATTAGCCAGTAAAGCTTTGTTTATTGTACTTGTAACTGAGCTGTACACCATGTGTTTTGAGTTTTTGATGGTTCACTGGAGTTCTGGATATGAGCTTTGATTCCTTTTTAGAACAAGTTGGTGCAATAACCACAATGAATTAAACCAAATCGTTCTCCATTAGTATTTCATCCTTCACCCCCACCCCTGGGAATCTGTAACTCGGCAAGGTATCAAAAGGCAGAAGCAGCCCAAACAAGACTAGCCTTGTGATTGCATGGGGGAGACAATTTGCATATAAAACCCCATAGCAAAAGATGTAGTGTAATAAATGCCAGCAGTGTGCCTGATGCATATGCTACAGCTCCTAAGGAGGGAGAGAAAATGTACAGCCAGATCTCTTGTTGATAACTTACTGACTGTATTGCTGCTGGCTTGTTACAAAGTCCCATATCTGGAGCACAATTAGTCTAACTGGCAATGGCTACCGTTCAGTATTGAGGGGCGCAGGGTGGTTTATGGGTTTAGTAGCTATCTCTAAGGTCACAGATTTATAGAGCTGAGTTTGACAGTGTTCAGAGTGACAGAACATTCAGAGGTGAAGCTGGGGGACCCATTTCTTACCCCATTGCTGCTAGCCTACCCACCACATCTTATTGTGTGTACTGTACCAAGAAAAAAGCTCTCTTGTGCTTTTGAAGTATTTCCAAGTATTTGCACTAAGTGATTGGTGTGTAATAAACTGTTTTAGAGATGCAGCAGTGAAATATCGTGTATCCAGTGTAGTGCGGGATATTGGTGCACAACTGCATTCTGTTGTAAACTGTGCCTTAATCTAAACCCAAAATTCTGAAAAGGGTGTTTAATGTCTACTCTGAATCTAACACCCATCTCCTGTAGAAAACTGTGTTGAAGCAATATGACACTTGTCCAGCAAAAATAAAAATAAGGCGAGAAATGCAAAAGTTAAGTGTCCAGCAGCAAGTTTAATTCTGAGCAGTCACACATATAAGTGTAACTTTCCTGGGAAATCTCTTGTATGTTGGGGAACCCACTTTAAAATGGAGGTCTGGGGTGAGTGCTAGTTTTGAGGAGGCCCTGGCAGTGCAGCTCCTCTCCCAGAGCATCAGGGAACTGCAGGAGTCCCATGGTTTGTGCAAAGGCACTGGATATCCATATGGATAGTCCTGGACCCCCAACAGATCCCCAAGATCTGTTGGGTTTGTGGGCTGCACCCCAATTTCTGACCCGAGCAGAACAAATCCCAGCCCTCTTCCTGTGGCCTCTGACAGAAGAATTCAGAGAAAACGCTCTAAGTGTAGCCTAGCCCAGTTTCCTGGAAAACCTCATCCTTAAGCCAAAGTTTTTCATCTTTAGAAAGCATTCTTGAGAGGGGACTTTCAGGGAAATGGCATTGGTTTCATTTTTTGTCATGTATGGATCTGCCTGGTTGATATGTTGCTGGATGATGTCCATAAGAATGTCCATGCTGGGTCAAACCAGTGGTCCATCTAGCCCAGTATCCTGTTTTCTGACAGCAGCCAATGCCAGATGCTTCAAAGGGAACGAACAGAACAGGGCAATTGTCAAGTGATCCATCCATCCCCTGTCATTCAATCCCAGCATCTGGCAGTCAGAGGCCTAGGGACACCCAGATCATAGGGTTGCATCATTGACTATCTTCACTAATAGTCATGGATGGTCCAGTCACTACTCCAGGAGGATTGTTGACTAGAGATGCATCCTGTGACTGCAAAATCAGTACATTAATTGATGAAGTCTTCTAGAAAACCCTGCAACATTGGTGGACAAGAAAAGGAGAAGGCTTGAGGTTTCTTAGGCACTTCATTTTGAGACCACCACCAGATTTTGCATCCTAAGTACAGCTTTATTTCGTTGCAAATCCATTAAGATGACCAAACAATTCAGATAGGTGCTGCTGCTTCTCTTTTGAACCGATTGGAAAGATCTGTCTGTTGTAGTTCTGTGCAAAGAGAATAGCGTCAGCAGCTCCTTGTGTAATGTGTAGTAATCTGAATGAATATGAGCGGTTAACAACTTAATTCAGTATTATCCCAGCTCTCTGCTAGGGCTAGAGAACAAGTAACTGCACTTCTGAATCATATTTTTCATGTGCGCATTCATTCATGTCTGCAGCTAATCTTGCTACCATCTGAGACAGTTACACAGTTTCAAAATTCCTCATCATCTTGTCATCACCAAAAGCCTTCGTTGCAGTGCCCTCACTAAAAGGTTTCTCCAACTTAGCTAATTCTAGCAACACAGCATAAAATAACTCCAGGCTTGATTTTTTTTCTCTCCCCTGCCCACCCCATCCCCTCGGTTATAGTTGTAGTAAGAGTAAATCCTTTTTTGGTGTTTGCGCTCTCCTTTTCAATAGCTGCGATAAGTGCTCAAGACTCTGTTTACTTTTTTCTCTTCATGTAACAACTTGTACCAGTGACTGGGATCGTTCTCATTATAAACTTGATAACTCCTACAAATGCAAGACACCAAGCTTTTCATTGCTTTCAGTAACCGAATAGTCCCACAATCTTGGAATGCTGCATTTTGGAATATTAAGTGTAACCTAGTAGGAAAATGAATTAACAACAAGAAAATATATTTAGGTTGCTTTTAACAAACCAATTACACACCTTGTAAAACTTGAAAGTGGACAGCTGGGTTTAAACTAACATGTTGCTTCTTTGGCAGATTAGTGTTAAACCTAGTGTTCCTCATGACATTCTTCTTTTGATCTTGCTGCAAGCTAAAGTTCACTTTGTAAACTGCTAGCCTTGCACTACACTTCAGCTGTAGCTTGGTTTCAGAACAGATTCTTGAACATCTGTTCTTGTCAGTGCTTTACCTTTCGAAAAGTTTATTCTAGTTCAGGGATTGATTTATTTTCCTGGTGTTTTGTTTGTTTTGTTGTGTTGTGTCTTTTCCCCAAGATCACACAGAATTAACTTTAAAAAAACCCAACTAAAACCAAAAGTGATTTCTAAAATTAAGCTTAGCTAGCTTTGTATGCAACTTGTGGGATTCACTGTCAGAGAAGATTGGACAAATACTGGGACTGAATTTTTAAAAGGGCTGGATAATTTTATTATCAAACAAAACTGTAGAGTAAGAATAATATTGAGCCTTCTGTTCAAAAGCACTTTGTGATCCTTGAATGAAAGGCACTGGGAGTACAAAGAACTATTATGCTCACTAAAAATAGGCGTGAGCTGTGGGGTCAGGAAGGAGTACTTCCTCTGCAAAACCCCGTGTACAGCATTGCACAATTGGCTAGAATGCATTATCATAGAATCATGGAAATGTGGGACTGGAAGGGACCTTGATAGGTATCTTGTCCAGTCCCTTGCACTGAGGCAGGATTAAGTATTATCTAGACCACCTCTAACAAGTGTTTGTCTAAGCTATTCTTAAAAACCTCCAGTGACAGAGATTCTACAACCTCCCTAGGTAATTTGTTCCAGTACTTAACTACCCTGACAGTTAGGAAGTTTTTCCTAATGTCTAACCTAAATCTCCCTTGATGCAATTTAAGCCCATTGCTTCTTGTCCTATCCTCAATGGTTAAGGAGAACGATTTATCACCCTCCTTGTACACCAACCTTTTACATACTTGAAGACTGTTATCATGTCCCTCCTCAATCTTCTCTTCTCCAGACTACACAAACCCAATTTTTTTTAGTCTTTTCTTATAGGTCATTTTTCTAGACCTTTAATCATTTTTGGAGAAAGTCCAGAGGAGAGCAACAGTTTGTCCACATCTTTTCTGAAGTGTGGTGCCCAGAACTGGACTCAGTACTCCAACTGAGGCCTTATCAGTGCTGATCAGAGTGCAAGAATTACTTCTTGTGTCTTAATTACACCACTCCTGCTAATACATCCCAGAATGATGTTCACTTTTTTTGCAACAGTATTATATTGTTGACTCATATTAGTCTGTGACCCACTATAACCCCAGATCCTTTTCTGAAGTTCTCCTTCTTAGGCAGTCATTTCCCATTTTACAGTTTTGCAGTTGGATATTCCTTCCTAAGAGTAATACTTTGCGTTTGTCCGTATTGAATTTCATCCTATTTCTTCAGTTAGTCAAGATCATTTTGAATTCTAATCCTGTCCTCCAAAGCGCTTGCAACCCCTCCCACTTGGTGGACTCCGGGGTGGGACTGGTGATGACGGGGTTGGGGTGTGGGAGGGGCTCAGGCAGAGGGTTGGGGTGCAGGAGTGAGGGCTGTGGGGTGAGGCCGGGGATGAGGGGTTCATGATGCAGGAGGGGGCTCAGGGCTGGGGCAGAGGGTTAGGGTGCGGGGGGATGAGGGCTCTGGCTGGGGATGAGGGGTTTGGGGTGTGGGAGGGGGCTTTGTCACTTATAGTTCAGTCAATCTTTAACATGTTGCTCCACTGTCTCTATCACATCCCTGGTAAATTATCACAGACACAAGTTCTGTGTCGAGGGACATGCAGTATGTATTGCTGAGATGGAATCATACAAAACATATAGTCTGGGGATATAAACAATTATGGTTTACAGTCCAGTGGTTAATTTCACTAAAGACATGTGCCTCCTTTTTAACCACACATTGCAGGAGCCATGTAGGAAGAGAGTGTGGAGCTGCTGTACTAAACTGCCATGTCTCGTTCTATATTAATGTAGTGTGTTTGAAAAGCTTCTTTCGCACGCTTGTGTGAGAGCGATAACTATATGCAGGCCTAGCGTCAGCGTGAAATGTAACGTGCGTATATGTGAAAGTGTTAATGAAATGTATACATCCAAAATAGCAACAGAATCATTGGGCCATTAGCAGATGTATTGCTGCAGTCTGGGGCAGAGGAGGGTGTTCAGTGTTAGACTTCTACGCCACTCTTCTAGAGTATGGAGTATTTTACATGGGAAAGTAAATATCAAGCAGCACTCAGGAAGAATGTGAGATTTTAATGTTTTTATGGTTTTTTTTATATACTTATCCAGAACTTTGAATGGGAAACGTCTAGAAATTGAATTAAAATAATACTTACTTATAGCACTCTTCATCTTCAGTGTGTTTTGTGAACATTAATACACACTCCGGGCTGGTAGGTAATCATCACCTTTGACAGGAGGAAACTAAAGCAGAGGGGTGAAGTGACTTGTCGAAGACCACAGACAAAGTTTGTCCGAGCTAGGATTAGAACTCAAGATCTGCTCCCAGTCCCATGCTCAGACCATCCTGGACATACTGCCCTCTTTTCTATGTAATACTTCAGTGTCTTCCTCACTTTTGGTAGGTTGTGTTAAAGGGCAGGGTTTCTTCAGCTGCTTCTCTGATGGTTATTTTGGTGGTGGTGGTTGAGCAGAGACCATTTGGCTTGTACAATGACACCATTTACACATCAGGACAACTTCAGGATGGTTTTAAAATAAAAGCAAAATAATTTGTACTGGAAGAAAGAGATTTTTAAATCTTTGGGTTAGATTTCCCCACTTATGGAGGGGGGCACTCTATTGCCTGGGCTTTTCAAAATTCAAACTTATTGTAGGGAAACAGGGAGGTACAAAAATATCTTTATATGATCTTCAGGAGACAGAAGGAAATGGACCTTTGGCAGATGGAGCTAAGATTCTGGCAAACAGTGACTCTGTCTCTTGCTATAAAACTTCCTCTCCGTTAGCTGATTTGTTACTGTCCTAATGATACATTTTCCTTTTCCCTCTAGGATGGTTTGCTTGTACTGCACTATGGCCTTGTGGTGTCTCCGCTAACGATAACTTAAAGATGGCTAGAATATCAGAAGGTGAAAGGGTCCAAAACATGAAGCTTCTTCAATGCTGTGTCTCACCAAAGAAGGTCATCCTCCTTGCTTCCTGTCACAGGAAATAAATGAATGAAACCACCACTAACTGCTGTACACTTATAACTTAGCATTTGACTTTGCCGGTGTAAAAAAATGCAGCCTCTGTAAGTACAGCTGTAAACACTGCAAAGCTCTATCTTACAAATGATGCTACTTAAACTGTAGCTAGCTCAGGGAAAGCAGAATACTCAGAGTTGCTGAATTTTATTTTTAAATCCTTCTTAAATCCACAGGATCTCACAGGGTTAATTTGCTTTCTCCTCCACTAATCTTAATCTTGGGCAGGTCCCTAACTTCTTATCTCCATAAGACCTTACGTACTTCTGAAGTATGTGGCTGGAATGGTGCTCTCAGGGATGATCTTCAGTGGGTGATGTCCCTTTTTTGGGGGAGGCGATACAATCATTTACCTAAAAAGAATGTCATCAGCAGCTGACTTGAGTTAGAAATGGTGGGCGGGGGGAGATTTTCCAGCTTGTCTATAGGCCAAAATGGGTAATCAACTTCACATGGGTTAAGTATTGACTTTCCTAATTCTACTGGAAACAGCATTAAGACATCGTTTCTCTTCAAGGAAACAAATTTCATCTGCACTAGGTCCAGAACTGGTAGTAGCTAGACTCATGTTAACTACTGTGTAACCATATAGCTCATGGTACGGCTCTCAGCATGGATGGACCAGTAGATTATTCTGTGCACAGAGGACATCAATGTATGACCTTCCCTCCATCTGTGATAGATGTGAAATAATTAGACTTTCAGCCTGTTCCCATTGAAGTCAATCAGCCGACTTGCCTGGCAGCAGAATCAAGCCTTTCCTTTTTAACACCTCTCCTTACAATCCCAGCAAAAATGGAGACTCTCACATTCTCTTCAAAGTACCATGTTGTAATGACCTTTGAATGCGACCATGTTTGAGGCTGCTACGGGGTGCAGGGCAATGGAATGAACATCTGTTACTACTACTGCTTCGACAGCTGCACAAAGACTATTAGGTAGTTTTTAATTTTAACATAACTGTAGTTCATGATCACTTAATATTTCAATATTCCGTTCTGTTTGTTATGAGACTTTAATGATTTCTTCCACAGATATAAAAAACAGAGGTGTGCATGAGTAGAGTTTCATTGCATACTAGACTTAAAGGCCAGATTCCAAGGTAGCTGGGTTCCTAACTCCTATTGATTTTAATAGGAGTTAGGTGTCTAACTACCCTTTAAAAATCTGGCTCTTAATTCTTTAAAACCAATGTTTGTTTTGCCTGTGAAGACGACACTTTAAGAAAAATCTTGTTTACCTAAAGTCACTTCTTGTGATGTTTCTAAAAATGTAACAAAAAAAAATGTGTAGTCAAGATTTCGGACTTATTTTCAAGGTTTGTATAAAAGTAGTGCTGAAAATGGAGCAGAAAAAGGGATTATTTTGTAAACACTTTGTGCATTGTGTTGATAAGAGATTTTATCTTGTAAGAGTTAAATAAAGTTTTATTTTAGCCTACTTGAAATTCGTGTTATAAGAAGTATTTATTGCAAGACTACTCTTCTTCACTTTACCCTAAAATAATAGCCAGTGAGATTAATGAGATTACTACTAGACATTTTTACTTAATCGGAATCCACAAGTTTAAATGAGGAAATTAGAAAGTGGGATTTTAAAATGCCTGATATCAATGGGGACTTTGAAATGTTACGAATTTTGAAACTGTAAAATCTCTGGGGGATGCCTTTTTAATGAGGAATCCATTAAAAAAACAGAGGTTGATAACCTGTTAAGACAAGAATCTGTTGCCACAGACACAGGAAGCTGTAGGAGACTACATTTTTAGACAAGCGCTTTTTCACTTCATGTTGTAATGCACTTCTTGTCAGACTCCCTGCTTGCTCCATTTAATCCATGTAATACATTTCTTATCAGATGCAGTATGGCCATGTCTCTGGCTTCAGCTCTGATCTTCCTGGCTTGATACATGTCATCAAGCCGTCAATATGGCTGCTTCCTGTTTCATTACAACTTAATTTTTTTCGGTGTATATAGTATTTTAAAGAAATGACTGTTAACAATTTAGTCATGTGTTCTGCTGCAAACTCTTGCTTCGTCCAAGCTTGTGTTACATGCCTACAGAAGGGCTTGTTTTAAAAGACGAATGGCCATATAAAAACCTTGACTAATTTAAATTACGGTCATTCCAGAATGTCCATCTTTATAATAGACCATTTGTGCCTACAGCGCTGATTTCTGTATAGCCTCAAAATCACCGTGTTATCGTTAAGAGCGGCCTTCCCCACAAAGAAACCTGCCACCATTTCTGATCCAGAAGTCGGTCTCTCTTTCAAAATTCACTTTGATCACAGTTTGGCTAATCCCATTTGATTGGTCTGGTCGGTACCGTGCACATGAGCAGTAACCGCAGCAGAGGATCTGTAGCAGATTGTTGTTTTTACACCCAGTTTTTGCCGTATCCTTGAAGAAAGTTTGTGGTAAGCCCATCACCATGTGGCAGCCACCGTGTTCACATGCGATGGAAGAGGATTTATTTCAAACCAAATAGATAAATTGGGAGGATGCAGCTTGGGTGTATTTTTGCTGCTGCTACTGTTGGGATGAATGTGGCATAGCCTCTGTGATTCCTCCACTTCCCATTTTCCCTCTCTTCCTTCCTCCACTTCTCTCCCTTCACTGCCTCCATACGGCACAACACTGAGGGCATGTCTTCACTACCCGCGGGATCGGCGGGTAGCAATCGATCTATTGGGGATCGACTTATCGCGTCTAGTGAAGACGCGATAAAATCGATCCCCGATGGCTCTGCCGTCGACTCCGGAAATGCACTGCGGCAAGAGGCGGAAGCGGAGTCGACGGCGGCGCGGCAGCGGTCGACTCGCCGCCGTCCTCACAGCCAGGTAAGTCGACCTAAAATACGCAACTTCAGCTACGCTATTCACGTAGTGTAGGCCTAGCCTGAGTCAGAGTCAGCCCTTTTGTCTGGCCAAGGAGGCCTGAAAATAAAGCATTCGGCTGCCCTGCCGTGCAACGTGCATTCAGTGCACTGATGCAGGAGATCACTGTTCATCTTTTGTCAAGCTCCTGCAGCATCTAATCGGGTTCTGTTGGCACTTTGACTCAGAGTGGGGTGATGTCTGGTTAGTGCCAGACTGATCTGTGGGCTGTTCAGTTTCCCGCATGAAAGCTACGCTTGGTTCTGTTTGTTTTTAAGATGTCCCAGCCTCCTTTCACTCCACCCCACAGCTGCCCCTGTGGCTGCTTTATGTCCTAAATCTTTGGCTTTCTTCCAATCACTTTTGGCCCTGTTGATGGAAGCTCTGAAGCAGCAGGCCCTCTTTGGGATGGCTTCTGTGTCCTCTTGGGAGATGTGCCAGCTTATCACTCTTGAAGGAAGGGGAAGGGGGTCAGGGAGCGGTATAGCTCCCACAACTAAGCCCATTACTGTCTTATTTGACAGAACAGTTGCTGTTTTTTCTGGTTTCCTGCATGTCAATAATGTGGCTAATAAATCCTGTCTAAACATGACTTGTACCATAGCGTGAATGGATTTCAAGTTCTTCTCCTGACATGAGCTGGCCGAGTCGCATCTACGTGGGTTCAAAATGTAGCATTTTTAAAAAGAAAACAGGGCTACCAAACAGCCACCTCAGAACCTTTGATCAGCAGTGGTGGTAGCAATTCCACGTGATTCATCGCCGCTGCTGTCTGCTTCATACAGATCCAGAGCTAGGAGGAGAAAAGCACAGAGGTGTGTGAAAATGGGCAGATGAGAGTCCCTTTATTCAGACAGGCTGGGAACAATCTACCCTAACAAAATGTGTATTTCAGTTATCTCTTGACATCCTATGCTGCACCACATAGCTCCTTGTAGCACCCCAGAGTGCAGCATACCTGAGCCAGTAGAACCTTTAACGCTTAGTTCCTTAGGGCAGGTCTTCACTACGGGGGGGTCGATTTAAGATACGCAAAGAATTCGGCGTATCAGAGCCGACTTACCCCGCTGTGAGGGCGGCGGCAAAATCGACCTCCGCGGCTCCCCGTCGACAGCGCTTACTCCTACCTCCGCTGGTGGAGTAAGCGCGTCGATTCGGGGATCGATTGTCGCGTCCCGACGAGACGCGATAATTCGATCCCCGAGAGATCGATTTCTACCCGCCGATTCAGGCGGGTAGTGTAGACCTAGCCTTAGACACAAGATGAGTTCAGTAAAATACATTGACAAGATGCTGGTCTGTGTCGGGTGCTTCTTTTCAGTGGCGCCTCACCTTGCCCCCTGCGCAATGATTTAAGTTAACACATGTTAATGGCCAGCACAACATTTTGAGATTACACCCCTCAGCCTCTATTTCTATCTTCCTTCAGATTCTTGTGAAATCTGCATCTCATCCATCCACATTCAGCATCGATTAACCTGCCAGCTGAGAGCTCACAAACACTAGAGCAGGAAGCTTTTATGAATTTTCTTTTAAAATTGAGGTACACTGAAATGCCATACGCACTGTGTATTCCCTCTTCAGTGTATATATACAGTATATCAGTCTGCTCTGTGGGTGGTTTTAAGCTTACTCATTCTGCTGTGTTGGATTCCCTGCTGAGAGGCAGACACAGTCTGTTGCAAACCAGCAAGTTCTCAACAGAGGTGCTTTTTCATCTGCTTTTCTCTCTCCTTGTTTATAACCATTCATGACCAGTGAACCAGTTCAGCCCAACGAGAAGCAAGCTGATGTTAACACTAGTTTCTGACCTTTGTCTTCTATGGGAGACCCCTATTGTTGGAGTGAATTCCCTGCCTAAATGGTCAAGAAATCTTAGGTTTTCTGGTGGTTTTAACAGGTTGCCATAGATACAGGTTTTATCGCTAGACTGCATTTTATTGCCTTTAGAGATTAATCATAACCCATTTCCAAATGAAATGCAGTATTGATTGACTGCAGAATGCTTGCTGGCCTTTCCATGCTGGATGGCATGATATTATCTTTACTGCTTTTTTATTAGTTCTAATGGCGATGGTAGTTTGGTTTTGGTAGGTCACTGCTGGTTCGACACTAATGTATTTCTCTAAATGTGAAAGGGTGGAAATTTTTTGGTAGACTTAGATGAAAACAAGTTCTTTGGAAGCGCATAACACAAGAACTAAGGGTCACCAAATGAAATTAATAGGCAGCGGGTTTAAAACAAACAAAAGGAAGTATTTTTTCACACAACACACAGTCAACTTGTGGAACTCCTTGCCAGAGGATGTTGTGAAGGCCAAGACGATAACAGGGTTCAAAAAAGAACTAGATAAATTCATGGAGGATAGGTCCATCAATGGCTATTAGCCAGGATGGGCAGGGATGGTGTCTCTAGCCTCTGTTTGCCAGAAGCTGGGAATGGGCGACGGGATGGATCACTTGATGATTACCTGTTCTGTTCATTCCCTCTGCAGCACCTGGCATTGGCCACTGTCTGAGGACAGGATACTGGGCTAGATGGACCTTTGGTCTGACCCAATGTGGCCGTTCTTATGTTCTTAAAGCCAGACATGTAACCAGAGGCAAAGCCAGTATAAGAATTCAGGAACCAGCCCTGTGTTCAGTCCACTAAACAAGGTTGTCTCTTCCGGTGGTCTGATGGCTTCTCCAGAGACCAGCTACTAACGGGTGCTTATCAACCTCTTTCCCTCTGCTTCAAAGCTAAGCTGACAGGGCATTTGTACAGCACCCAGCACCATGGGACTCTGCTCTCCAAGTGCTACTATATTACAAATAGTAAGAGGGCTGCAGCAGTGTCTGCAGAGCAGCTCCTTAGTCACGCCACAGTCTGGAAGAAGGATTCCCTTTCCCAGACACACGTCCTGAGCTACCGTACTTGGGTACGTGTGAGTGGCTTTGCCCCCCCAGTAGTATTTTAACAGAC